ACAAGTAAACCACCTGTACAAGCTATTTCAATCTCCACAATTCTCAGTAAACTCTTCCTGCTCTTTGGCCCAAAAGGGTAATTATCTTACCATAGCCTTTTCTTGTGAAAATTTAATCCATCTCATTCATGGATTATTGACTCAAGTGCAACCGATCATATGATCGGTTCTTCAAAATTATTTTCATCGTATAACTCTTGTGCAGGCAATAAGAAAATTAAAATTGCAGATGGGTCATTGTCAGTAATAGCTGGAACAGGGTCAATTGTTATCTCTCCTTCTCTTACCCTCCAAAATGTTCTTCATGTTCCTAATCTCTCATGCAACTTATTATCCATTAGTAAAATAATTAGTGACCTTAAGTGCCAAGTTAACTTCTTTCAATCTTATTGTGAGTTTCAGGAACTAACCGCGGTGAGGATGATTGGCAGTGCTAGAGAAATTGGAGGACTTTATTTCTTTGAAGATGGACCAAGTTCAGAAAGGCCAGTACAAAGTACATATTATGGAACTGTCTCTATTACTAGTGATGAAGAAATAATGTTATGACACTATAGACTAGGCCATCCGAATTTTTATTATTTAAAAAGATTATTTCCAGTTTTGTTTAGAAATAAAAATCCATCTTTGTTTCAATGTGAAGTATGTGAATTAGCTAAGCATCATCGTTCTACTTTTCCCTTACAACCCTATCAACCCTCAAAACCTTTTGTGCTCGTCCATAGTGATGTTTGGGGACCTTCTACGATTTGAACACCCTCGGGAAAAAGGTGGTTTGTCACGTTCATAGATGATGACACTAAAGAAAGCTGAGTATATTTGTTGAGAGATAAGTTTGGAGTTGAAAATGTGTTTAAAAATTTTTACTCCATAGTTTTAACTCAATTTCAAACAAAGATTCAAATTTTACGAACGAATAATGGGAAATAATATTTCAATAAAATTTTAGGATCTTTTTTCTTGGAAAAAGGTATTGTTCATCAGAGTTCTTGTAATGATACTCTTCAACAGAATGGTGTGGCTGAACGAAAAAAACCAACACCTTTTAGAAGTTGCAATGGCCTTACTATTTAAAAATAATGTCCCTAAGTATCTTTGGGGGGAAGCCATTTTGACAGCCACTTATTTAATAAATCGGATGCCTTCTAGGGTTCTACGTTTTCAAACACCATTAAATATTTTTGAAACTAATTACCCTACATCTAGACTTACCTCTACACTCCCTTTGAAAATCGTTGGATGTATTGTTTTTACACATAATCATGAGCATAATCGAAGGAAACTTGATCCTAGGGCTAGAAAATGTGTCTGTGGGATATGCCCCGACTCAAAAAGGATATAAATGCTATGATCCTATTTTCAAAAAAAAATGTTTATCACCATGGATGTAACCTTTTTTGAAAATAAATCTTTCTTTGAATACCATCTTCAGGAGGGGAGAAAAAGGGAAGATGAGGATGATGATACTCTTGATGTTTTTCAAATAAACCCGGATTCAAAGTTGAATTTAGAAACCACCCTTACAAAATCTGGTACAAATCCGGATGAGGAAAATCAGACTTTCGAATCCGAATTTGTACCAGAATTTCTTGACCAAGACCAGGCTATACATGAAACAAGGGTTGAAAATATTTTAGACCGGACATCCCTAGTGCCACACCCACATTAAATCTCACTGGTGAAAAGAATGGGACCAAAACAGGTTCCAACATACTGACCTATTCAAGGAGAAAATCTTCAAAGGAAAAAGGTCCTATCTCTTTACACAACCATGAATCCAAACCAAGGGAGGAACCTAAACAGTCTGAAATTCCAGGTAACAATCAAACTGAGTTCGTCCCAAAAGTTCAATCTTATCCTGAGTCTTGTAATGATCTTTATGTCCCTATTGCTACCAGGAAGGGCATTCGTTCCTGCACTAGGCACCCCATGTCTAACTATATTTCCTATGAAAAGTTGTCTCCTAATTTCTTAGCCTTTACTTCACAACTTTCTTCTGTGAAAATTCTAAAAAGTGTACAGGAAGCTTTACAGGTTCCCGAGTGGAGGAAGGCTGTCTATGAGGAGATGAGGGCCCTAGAGAAGAATCAAACATGGGAAGTGACGGATCTGCCATCAGGAAAAAGGACTGTGGGCTGCGAGTGGGTCTTTACAGTCCAATATAACTCGAATGGAACTCTTGAACGATACAAGGCTCGCTTGGTGGCCAAAGGTTTTACACAAACCTATGGCATTGACTATCTTGAGACCTTTGCCCCAGTAGCCAAGTAAAATACAGTTAGAGTACTTCTCTCAATTGCAGCAAATCTTGATTGGCCTCTTCAGCAGTTAGATGTAAAGAATACGCTCCTGAATGGAGACTTGGAGGAAGAAGTGTACATGGCCTCTCCACCTGGGTTTGAAGAGAAGTTTGACTCCAAAGTTTGCAAACTAAACAAGTCCTTATATGGGCTCAAGCAATCTCCAAAGGCCTGGTTTGGAAAAATTTACTCATTCGGTGAAAAATCAGGGATATGTCCAAGCTCAAAGTGATCACACCATATTTATGAAACACTCCAAGGATGGTAAAGTGGCGGTCTTAATAGTGTATGTAGATGATATTATTCTCACTGGTAATGATGTCGCAGAGATGGAGCAGTTAAAGAGAAGATTAGCCTCAGAATTCGAGATCAAAGACTTGGGAACCCTGAAATACTTTCTAGGAATGGAGGTTGCAAGATCAAGAAAAAGGATTGCTGTCTCGCAAAGAAAATATGTGCTAGATCTTCTCAGAGAGACTGGGATGAGCAGATGCAAGCCTGCAGATACTCCCATAGATCCGAACCAAAAATTAGGTGATTGTAAGGATGGAGCACCGGTTGACACAGCTCGGTACCCAAAGTTAGTGGGAAAGCTAATTTGTTTATCCCACACCTGACCTAACTTAGCCTTTGTAGTAAGTGTTGTGAGTCAGTTTATGCACTCTCCTTGTAAAGAACGTCTTGAAGGAGTATGTCGAATTTTAAGATACCTTAAAGGTACACCGGGAAAAGGATTGTTGTTTAAGAAAGGTGAAGAAAAGACTATTGAGGTTTACACTGATGCAGACTGGGCAAGTTCCATTACAGATAGAAAGTCTACATCCGGTTATTGCACTTTTGTATGGGGCAATTTGGTTACATGGAGGAGCAAAAAGTGGAATGTAGTTGCCCGGACTAGCGCAAAAGCTAAATACCGAGCCATGGCACATGGAGTATGTGAGATATTGTGGATCAAGTGGATTCTTGACGAACTTAGAAGACCAGTTGAGATGCCAATGAAGTTGTATTGCGACAACAAAGCTGCAATTAGTATTGCTCACAATCCTGTGCAACATGATCGAACCAAGCATGTTGAGATCGATCGTCATTTCATAAAGGAGAAGCTGGAGGCTGGAACTATCTATATGCCATTTGTTCCTTCAATGCAACAAATAACTGATATTCTTACCAAGGGACTCTTCAGACCGAACTTCGAGTTTCTCAGAAGCAAGTTGGGCATGTTGAACATCTATCCACCAACTTGATGAGGGGTGTTGATTATGATAGATTTTAGCTTCTATTTATTAGGGATAATTATTAGGAGTGTTATATTTTAATAAGAGATTTGAATTAATATTCAAATATTATAACTTATCTTATTAGTTTATCTTATCCTTTAGAAGGGATAATTAGTTTCCTAGTTTATGGCTTATCAATAGCTTTTCTTACTTCCTATATATATATATATATTCACGTACTCTTTAATAAAATAAGTAACATGAACTATTCTTCTCAAAACTGTTAAAAACATAACCCGGTTGTTTTTTTTTTTTTTTTTTTAAGATTTCTTACCTTAGATTTGGAAGGGAAAAAATTGAATTGCTCTTTCTTAACACTTATAAACGAGGTTGTGTCATGCATTGGATGCAAATCAGGATTAAACGCTTCTAAGAGATATCTACAGTTTTTAATATGGGGAGAGTAGGAGAGAGAGAAGAGAGAAAGAGACGGAGAGAAAAAAAAGGCAAGAGCTCAAATGAAGAGAGAGAAAGAGAGGAAGGGAAAAAGGTGGGAGTTCAAATGAAGAGAGAAATTGAGGAGATATTGTAGCTTGTTCAAACGAGGAGAGTGCGGGAGAGGAGAGAGAGAAGAGAAAAAGGTGAAAGTTCAAATGAAGAGAGAGAGAGGAGTGAAAAAAGTAAGAGTTCAAATAAATAGAAAAACTGAAGAGGAAAATTAAAAACTGGTCTTGAGTTTTACGAAGGATAATTTTGACAGGAGAGAGAGAAGAGAAAAAGGTGAAAGTTCAAATGAAGAGAGAGAGAGAGGAGTGAAAAAAGTAAGAGTTCAAATAAATAGAGAAATTGAAGAGGAAAATTAAAAACTGGTCTTGAGTTTTACGAAGGATAATTTTGATAATTTACTTCATGGGGTCTTCAATTGCTGAAGTAATAGTATTAAAAATAAAAGCCTGAAAAACTAGTGTTAGTTTTAAGATTTTATTTTTTTCTTAGTGTTATTTTTATAAATAATCCAATTATCAATACAAGGCAACACGAAAAGGTCAACTCCAAGTCTCCAACCGGCCATTCATTTTAAAGTTGCTTGCTCCAACTTTCTTAATCTCCCTTACATTTGAGCCCTTTTAAGTTTGAATTACTACTTCTTTTAACACCGTTTGAATTATTACTTCTTTTAACACCGTTTGAATTATTACTCGACCATTCCTCCTGTTTTCTACTTGGTCACAAAAGTAGCCTCTCTGCTGGTGATCCACCAATGAAATCAATTTTTCTCAAATCATTATCGAATTAATCTAAAAGTACGTGATATCATGAGCACCACTTGAACGCGGACTCTTGCCCTTGCATGTGTGCAAATGCTATGACGCACGTTAGAGAAAGTATCACAGAAAGTGGTTCAAGAATGCCTATGAAATTTATACCAGAAAGTTGTGCCTTCTTTCAGAAATCTGAATAGACCCAGTACATTGCAAAGTGCTTTAGTTCAAATTTTATTTCCATGAGGTTCCATCTATTAAAGAATGAAGCAACAAAACTGGATTATTGTTATTACATTCAACTAAGTTCCCTAGCAAATTCAAAATTAAAGACAAGTAACACATGATATGATAGAACATCTGTAATTGTAAGAGCGCCTGCATTAGGTTAATTCTCCGCTGGTCAGTCAGGCCAACCACTACTGCTCCTCAAGGTTGCCAAATCCTCGTCGGAAAGATTCTTCAGTCGACCTTGACAGAAGAGAACAGGTAGTGCACGAACCAGAATGAAGAAAGGAACCCAATTGTGCCGGTTGCGAGCATGATTGCCACAACCATGAAGAGGGAATACCCCAAGTAGAGAGTGGCAGAGACGGGTCCGCTCAAACTCTTGAGATCAAACACAAGGTAGTTCACAGAGTACAAGAATATGTAAATGGCAACTGAACCAGAAGCAAAGAAGGACTTCCACCACCATTTCCAGTCCTCCACACACAAGTGCATGTAAGTGAGAACAAGAGATACCTCCGCGCAAACCACGACGAGAAGGATCAAAACAATGAATAGAAACCCGAAAACATAGTACACACGCCCCATCCAAATGCTAGACATGATGAAAAAGAGCTCAATGAAGAGAGTACCAAAGGGAAGAGTCCCGGCACCAAGGACTAGCAGCCATGAAGGGTATTTCTGTGGAGGGATTTCCCTAGGAATTTGGTTGGTCCTGACCGGGTATTCAATGGGAGGTGCCTTAGCCCCAAAGTAACCTCCAACAAGGGTAAGGGGAACAGAAATACAGAACCAGAGTAAAAGTAAAATAACAAAGAGAGAAAATGGAATGGCTCCAGTACTGTGGCTACCCCACAAAATGAAATTCAGAGTGGTAAGAATCAAAAAGGCAATACCAGGGAAGAAACAAGCAACACGCCATGAGACAGAAACCCATCCCGTGGAGTCACCGCCGCCGATTGTCCTCCAAAGACGAATTGCAACGTATCCAGCTGCAATCCCAAGGATCATATAGAAGAACAACATACCGGTAATGAGTGTCCCACGAGATGCTGGCGACATGAATCCAAGAGCAGCAAAAAGTATGGTGACCACTGCCATGCCAAGAATCTGAACTCCGTCACCAACCATTATACACAAAAGGGCAGGATTTGTCGGGGCACGGAAGACATCCCCAACAACAAGCTTCCAACCGGACAACTCCTCATTCATCTGTGCTTGAGCCTCCTTGTCAAGCTCCTCGTACCTAGTAAGATCACGCCGCACAGTCCTCAAAAAGATCACAAGGACGATACCGGCAAGGAAAGTGATGACCATAAGGGAATTGAGAATGGAGAACCAATGGACTTTGGATCCCTCCATCTTCAAATATGCATCCCAACGCGATGGCCACTTGATATCACTCTCCTCAAATTCGATCTCATAAGTGAACACAATTGGCTTCCCTTCCTTCACAGGAACGGACACAGAGGTAGGATCACACTTGATAGCAGATGGGTACTTTTCATACATCTTCAAGTTCTTCACTAAATCAGCCTTATGCATAGTACTGCAAGGTATCACCTCAAACCCTACAACCATGTACCCGGGCACATCGGATCCCTTCCCTATTGTCGGAATAACCTCAGCAGCATCCCCAGTGCCCATCACACGCGCCACATTCGCCTCCTCATACTTGTGAACAAGAACCTTAAACTTCAAATGGTTAAACACATAGTAAGAATCTTTAATCTTAACTCCAACAGGGTAACCGGTCCACCTCAAGGTGTAACCTTCTTTCTGGGTGTAACGAATTGCAGGCAAATTGTCCAGGATCAAGTTAACCTGGTACATCTCATCAATCCTCTTTGTCAAGAGCTTGAACTGATCTGCAGACAAGGCATCGACTTTGCAGAGATAGATCTCAGACTCATTGGTGTACATTTTGAAACGATAAGGGGAGTTTTCGATCCGATCACCCATGAGAAGCTCTCCGAGATTCTCGGCGCTGTCCTTAACACCCTCAAGAGGCTTGCAAAAGGGCAAACTGTAGTAACTAAAAGGCATTTCTGTATCAATGGAGGTCAGAGAATTGACTTTCACGTTTAGGAAGTCTCCGACGACGTACTTGTGGGGATAACTACCCGGGAGATAAAACCCATAACCCAATTGAAAAATCAAGAAAATGGTCAAGACCCAGATCCTAAATCGATTAAAAGCGTCCATTTTGAGCGGTTTGTCTCCGATTTGAGTCAGATCTGGAAAACCCAGATCAGAAAATGAGTGAAACTACAAGATGGTAACAAAATTACTATATGGGTTTTGAAAATTGTATGTGAAGATTCAGATATGAAATTGCAAGACGGTATAGAAGTAAAAGCTATAGCAATTAAAGATAACGGATAGAAATAAACAAACAGCAAAAAAAAAAAATTTGTTTTCAGAGAAAGTAACTGACCTCTAGCAAGGAATGAGTCATCTAAAAGCAGCAGAGATCTCGCAGCTCTGAGAATCTGTGGGCTGGTATTAGAAGAAGAAGATACCAATAGCATGAGAGCGTGAAGGAAGGGCACGAGAAACAGATTTTATAAAAAAAGGTTTTGCTCCTGTCGTGTGAAAGTGCCACACCACCGACGAGGTCTTCTAGCCTTTTCTCGATGCATCAAAATGCCCCAATTAACTCATGAAATAACAAACGTGTGACTTAATTACGATCCAGCACCGTGTGTGCGCGCGCTTTTTTTTTTAGGATAAATTTTGGGTTATTTGTCTTTTTACATCTTCCGTTTAGGTTTAAACAGAAAATATACCCTTAGTTTTAGGATTACATTTAATAGGTAACTTTCCACCTTTTTAGGGTCAACTTAAAATTTGACGTTTAGAATTACCAAATTAACCTTAATACAGTAATCTAATAGTATACGACAGGAACAATTAAAAAAAAAAATCAAAGGTCACTTCCATTAAAGTTAATTTGGTAATTTCAAAAGTTAAAAGGGAGGTTAACCGACATAAGATGTAAGTGTGCTTATTAAATGTAATGTGATGTTATACATTTGCAGCAATCAAAATCAAGGATACAATTTCTGAATAAACGTAAAATATACTTTTTTTTAAAAGCACTATTTGGGAAAAAAAAATATGGATCACACATATAGCTTTTTTTTCTTTTTAGTACAAGACAGAATTAAACCCACAACCCCTACCTAAACCTCCCAGTGCCACTAGACTAAGAGATCTTAGGCATTATCTCTAAATTCATATGAATCTCAAGTAAAAATGCGTATTTATTTCTAATAATTAAAAATCAAGTATATAGATCAATTATTAAGCACACATATAACTCTTTCAACAACGCCTCTATAATCGGTGGAAACTTCTTATGAATTGAGATCAAGAGATCAATGGCGCTGAGGCTACCCAATACGCCACATAAAAACAATTCTAACGGACTAAACATGCAACTATCTCTAAATGGCAAATTCAACAACACCTTTAGTGGGATAAATAAGTACCAAAAACAACAGAAAAGTTCGGAACCACAGGGATAAAACCTTTGATGACAAAACAGCCTTCGAGTATAATGGAGAAGTGAGTGACCCAATAGGAAGCCTAAAAGGTGACCAACGAACCACCAATCCATTGACGCGTGGACGACATGCGTTTTTGGCGCCAGTCGGCACGCTCCCCAACAGAAGCTTCATGTCATCAAGGGGATACAAATGCAGGAGTTGTAGGCCCGTTAGAGCTACGATGTACTCGAATTTAACAACTGAAGATGTGATGGCCACCCTTTATGGGCGAGTTGTTGTTCAACTTTTTAGTGTGTTGTAGATGATGATAATGAGAAGATTTTGATAAAACCAGTAGATTGAGAACAAGTTTCAAGCTAGTTATTTAGGGAATTGATATCAAATAGTCTTTACTGAATTGGTAATGAGAAAATAAAGAAAGTATAAATATGGGGTATTCGATCGAGCTTAATCTCTCTAGAGCTTAATGCTCCTAAAGATTGTCAATTACAGGATGATCGATAATCCCCACTTCTCTCACTCTCTCTGTTTTTATTCATCTTTCCTTCTAATTAACTGTCTCACTCATCCTTTCATCAATCCCAAGCTCTCACTCCTGAACTCGTGCTTCGAATGCACCCCTTTAATCTGTCAGCTCAGCTGCGGCCTCTTTGCCCATTCATCTTCCACATCACGTCCCAAGTCATCCCCTCCTCATCCAGCTCCAACTTCCGTATCAACCCGAGGGGGCGACTCATCTTGGGCCTTCTCTTTGCATAAGTGAAACGTAATAGGGGCTTTGGAGGCTCATCAATACCCTCCGCCCATAGACACACCTTGTCTTCAAGGTGAAAATTTGAAAATGGCACGTTGATGGTGTCAAAGTGTTCCAACTTTCCTCATGCTCCGGTAGGTTGTCCCAATGAATCAAGACCTCTAGGTACGAAGAAGAGCAGTGGGTAGCCTGGCGAACACCCTTCCGAGTAGCAGGCACTACTTGTAGTTCCATGTCTGGAGTGAGTTGTGGTGGCAGCGCAGCAATGGGGGCGACGAACCAATAGCTCAGCACAGCTGCGAAACATGGAAGACCGGATGGATTGTCATCGTAGCGGGAAGCTTTAAGAGATAAGTGTCACGCCCCCCAAACGGGGTGGGTGACGTGGAACTCGATTTGGGATTAATAGAGCAGATTCCCAACCGGGTCCCACACTTAACTGCATAAAAATATGAATAAACGACATAATCCAGGAGCCTCTGACACACAGGGCTCCACCCCACAGGACATACAGTATCGTACATACATGCACATGTAAATAATCAATTACAATAGACATCATCCACAGTCTAGTAAATTCAAATGTCATTTATTACAAATTCTTACATATTCCTTACACTTTATGTCAGAGGATGAACACAATCCTCACTTGATCGTTCCGTAGCACCACTCAGCTACTCCCGCTACT